TAAATATAGATGTAAAATTGCATCTGCTTGGTTTCAGCAGGTTCCTCTTACGGTTTGTACCTGATAATCACTCATGCTTGGTGACAGCGCTTGGTCCCAAACCTAGTGCTCTATGCACATTATAGATGATGCAGATCAGAGCTGCACACGTGACGCGGTCACACTATTGTTTGTTGTGTTTATAACATAAACTATGACGTTGAATTGGGAGACAAGATAATTAGCCACGCTATAATTTTAATTATACAATTCTAGTAGAAAAAGTTGCAACCACAAGACTATCTCCAACATTCATCACATGTCTTGGAAACAGTCCTTTAAATCAAAACAATCAGTAGTTTCTGAATAATTCAGTACTTCTATAATGTAGGTGATGCAGGACAAGAGGATGAACCCTCTTCAGTACCAGTCGAACCCCCAACTGGACCACGAATGGCCCAACCAGATCCCCAGGTAGAAGTGGCCTTACTTCATCCCCCAGCAGCTCCAACTGGACCACCAATGGTGACCCCAGATCCCCAGGTAGCAACATCCCTGCAAGATCCCCCAACACACTCAGCTGGAGCACTGAAGGCCCTGTCTGGACCCCCAGCAGCCCTTATTGGACCACCGAAGTCCCCAAACGCATTGGCAGGAAGGCATAATGTGAAAATGTTAAAAAGATTCAGACTCTGGGCATCCCTGCTTTCAAAAGAAATGGGTATAAAAAAAACTCTCGTCAAATTCCATAAACTGCTCCATTTAGCTGTTATCATCACTTAAATGACGCCTGTGTTTGCCCATATTTAGGATTAGGCCTGTGCGAAATGACTGCATTTTATTGGACGATACAGAAATGTCTATTGTTTTAAAGTTATGCTCTATTGTTTATTTCGTTCTGTCACAAACGTGGTGCGTTCTGTTCTTCTTCTATATGTGCCGGTGTTGAAGGGAAGAAATGCAGGAATAAACAAACATGAAGGAGAGTGAAGTTCACTCAGAACTGGGTAAATACTGCACAGAAGGACTCAGACCATGAAAGCAAAAATGAGGAGCTCGTTCCAAAAAGAGAACTGTGTTTTATGGACAAACAACACTATAATTATCATGATTTGTGTCAGTAATGTTTAATGACTCACCCACTGACATTCTGCTTACTTGATGAAGATATGCTGCTGTTGTGATGTACTATTACTAACAGTGTGTACTTTACTTATACTGCGCTTGAAGCTTGTGCTACAGGAAGTGTCATATAATACCATCTCTAAGGTAAATAAGATGATGTCAAATTGTGTATATAGCCATTTAGCCATATGACCGCAGTATAAACATTATAAAGTGTAAAGTAGTGGAATGAGAGGATGGACACTGGAGATTTGCAGTATTGAGGGCTGAATAGAGCTGAGGGTCAGGGACATGACCAGTAAATCACACCAATTCTCCTTTCACTTCACTGGCTTCCTGTTTCTGTGAGGATTGATTACAAGGTCACCCTTCTCACCCACCAGTGCATCTATGGAAAGAACTACTCACCCCTGTAACTACAACACGATCCCTCCGCTCAGCAAACTCAAACTGCCTCCTTCTCGCCAGGACTGAGCTCAGCACCACGGGTGTTTTCTGTTCTGCCGCTCCTCGGATCTGGAATGCCCTCCCCGACCATCTGAGGGCACCTCAGACTACTGAGACTTTCAAAAAAGGACCAAAAGCATTTCTTTTTAGCAAAACGTATGAGTTTTTATCAACCCTGCCAATTGATTTATTATCTGTTTGTATTTTATATTGATGTTTTTAGCTTGCTTTTAAGATTTTATCTGTAGCACTTTGAGATTTGCTTCAAATATAAAGTGCATTACAAATAAAATGTATTATTAAATACTATTATTAGTCCATAAGCTTTGGCTTACGTATTTAACTGTTGCTGTTTTTACAAATCCTCATATCTACAGGTTTTTATTTATGCAACTCACCCCCGTATATAAATTCATAAACGCATTTCATTTGAGATCACACTAAAACTGTTTTCTTGAGATACAATGCAACCGATAAAGATTTTCATAGGGTTAGTGTTTGTGAAAAACATTTCAGAAACATGTTCCAAGAGGCACAAATTATTAACATTTATGGATTAGACCGTTTCATGTCTCTTTAAAATGTACGACCGACACAAGGGCTGAGTGGACAGGGTGAAAATTTAATGTTCTCATAGGACTAAACCAAATACATCATTGGAAAGCTATTGATCAGGAGAGTAACATTATGCCAATCTGAAGGCAGTACATGGTTTCTACTTTGAAATACTGACCTTTGAACTTTGACATTTATGTATGTGATTGTTATAACTCAACAACAGAAGGGGATACAATGAGCCGGCTGTTATACAAAGCTCTTGAACTTGTCCATCCTGTGAGGTACCGTTTCGTGTGATCAATAAGGGGCATCACAAAAATTGGTAAAAATTTAATTTCACATTATTATTATTTATAATTTAAAATTCTGACCAAACTAAAACGGACAAAAATATTAGATCAACATACATGTCTGATTATAAAGACTGGCTTTTTTTGATCAACACCAAGAAACATTTGTTCAGTTGATGTCTGAAGGTTATGTTGGTCATCACATGTGGAACCTACAGAATCTTAAAGCAACAACAATACAAGTAAAGGATGTACATTTAGGGAGTTTCAAATTCAAGTTTAAGTTTATTTAGAGCCCAAAATCCCTGTTTACAGTCTCAAAGGGGTTTATAAGCCCACACGTTTATAGCAAACAAAACAGAACACGCCCTTACTTAATCATCATGCATTGCAAAGAGTCTCAGTTAAACAACTGATTATCAAACTGCAATATTAGTGAAGTACTTAGGAAAATGTCCATAAATTACTGCACCATCAGTAGTCCATTGTTTGACATCATGTACCCACTGATGCCCCATCGTGTTCTCAGGACACCTTAGTTCACTGCTCAGGTCTTCCAGTCTCAGAGACTCAGCCTTTTTCAAAGTCTGCATTAAAAGAAAAATATTTTTGCCATTGCCATGTTACTGTCATCTTTCATATATGTATCTGAAACATAACATAATACCTTGACATATCTGCTGGATAATGCAAGATGAAGGCCTTCCTGCTTCCACCCAGTAGCACAGACTGTTAGCATGTAATTCCTGACTCTTTACATTTACATGTCACGCTTTTATCCAAAGCAACTTACAATTGCGATACATGTCAGAGGTCACACGCCTCTGGAGCGACTTGCTCAGGGACACATGTGTGGATGGGTCATAGTGAGGGGGTTGAACCCGGGTCTCTCACACCAAAGGCAGGTGTCTTATCCACTGTGCCACCCACGTTTTGCAGAGCATTAACTTAAAGGAGGCAGCGGGGCCAGATGAACTTCATCCTGTTTTGTTAAAAATGGCAGCAGAAACTATAGTGAAGCCACTCGATTACATCTTTAACCTTTCCATTTACACGATACAGCGCCTACTTCATGGAAACAGGCTTACGTCACGCCATTACTGAAAGCTGTAAGGTATCAAGAATGAGGACCGAAGCAGGAAAGAGGAGTCTGTCCTACTATGGCCCTTCATCCTGGAATGAACTCCGGTCTAGGCTTAAGATTGGCTCACTAATTTCCTTAGCTGCTTTTAAAAAAACAATATCTGACATTCTGACGGACGTATGCACTTGTTTTAAATTAACGGTACGTAGATATTTAGTCCTTATTTCGTTTGTTTATATATTTTAAAGTCATTGCAATTTTGTCTATGTAAATATTTTGTAAGGGTTAAGTAAATCTGTATCTTAATTTATGTAATGTATTGTTTTTCAACTTATGGTTGAAAGATTGTCTTTTATTTGTGTTATACAGGACTCCCTTTTAAAAGAGACCGTGTCTCAATGGGACATTTCCTGTTTAAAAAAAGGCTTATATATGGTCGTTACCTTTCCTCAGGTCAAAGACCGTCTCCTGTGTTTTCTGGAGGTTTCAAATGAGATGGTTGGTGTCACACCATTTAACAGATACTGTAGGTCTGTGTCGTCTTGGTGCACAGAGTCCATATCATTGTGCAAAAGGATCCCAGTATCATTAGGATGTACATTACTGCAGTTATTGGTGTACAATATCAAACGTATCTGTGGTACAATGCAACCCTGTGTTTAGGGTCTCTGACAGCGTCCTGTTGACCTTCACCTGCAGACTCCATTTTGCAGAGCAGAAGGAGGAAATGCCAGTCTGAGGCAGGTGAGAGTTAATCCAACATTAAGTTTTACTGTCAAAGTCTCCGGCAAGATTAAACTAACCCAGGAGACGAACGCAGATCTAAAGAGGACTGACCAGCAGCTGGATGGGTTTATTATACTGTGTGTTACTTCTTCTGTTCTCAGTCTTGTTGAAACTCCTGAACAGTTTCTCCTGCTTCTTGTGTTCTGAGCTCAGTCAGTGTTACTGGTTTCCTCTCAGACTGACTGAAGTCCAAAAGATCAGTGATCGCTGACAGAGGTTTTGTTTTACAGGACTGAATTATAAAGTATTATTTTTTTGTCTGTCACTTCAGCTCCACCTAAAACAATAAGAGGGGAGGAGCAACAGGCTCATGAGAACAGGGAGGAACATGTTCACCTGTAAATGCAGAGGGGGAGGAGCAACACTGAGCAGGTGATCCAGGTGAAAACAGGAAACAGCCTGAAGCTGAAACAGTTCAGTCAGTTCAGACATTTAGAGTGGACAGAAGGAGGAAAGCTGAAGGCTGAGGCAGGTGAGAGTTAATCCAACATTTTATTATGTTACTGTCAAAGTCTCTGAGTCAGTTTTCTCCCTGTGGACTGTAGAGGAAAGAAACTTTAGAGTGAACTCAACACTTTGATTCATCTGTGGACACAAAGTCCTGACTGGCTGCTGTTAGTTTCTGTGTTACTTCCTGTTTTCTCAGTGTTGCGTCTGACTCTTGAACAAACTAGTTTTTCCTGATTCTTGTGCTCTGAGCTCACAGTCAGTGTTACTGTTTCACCTCTCAGACTGACTTCAGACCAGAAGATGAGTGTTTGTGTGGAGGAAAAGGAGGACAGAGCAGAGTCTGCAGGATCCAGCTCTCTGTCTATGAAGAGTGACCAGTCCACTGATAATCCTCCAGACTTCAGTAAAGAACCTGGACCCTCAGACACAAAGTAAGAGATCTGCTGCTTAACTCATATATATATGACTCAGTTCCAGTGAATCAGTTCCCTCTGCCATGTTGTCTGTTGACTTTTTGTTTATTTATTTTATATTTTATTATAAGTGGGCGGTGCAGTGGTGTAGTAGTCAGCACTGTCGCCTCACTGCAAGAAGGTCGTGGGTTTGCATGTTCTCCCCTTGTCTGCTTGGGTTCTCTCTGGGTGCTCCAGCTTCTTCCCACCATCCAAAGACATGCAGGCTAGGTTAATTGGTGGCCCTTAGGTGTGGATGTGAGAGTGACTGGTTGTCTGTCTATGTGTGGCCCTGCGATGGATTGGCTCCAGCCCCCCCTGTACGCAGGATAAGCGGTTGACGATGGATGGATGGATTTTATTATAAGTTCTACTTCCTCTAAGGCCCCATCCACACTACTCCATTTTACTTTAGTTTTTGCTGCGTATCAGAGTTGATCATGAACATGAAGCAGATGGTCTGAGATTGGTCAAAGAATGCAGATGAAGAACTGCACCAGATTTCATTTTGCATGGACCAATAAGTAGCTGGGACTGTTACTGAATGTAACACGGGAGTGAGGTGCTGGAAAACAGACTGGGAGTCGTCACAAAGTAAACGGTGACATGCACAGAGCAAGTGTAGGCTGTAAGTCTTATTTGCACAGTACAGAATATTTTAATAAAAATACCACATCTAAAACTCAGTAGCATTGTGTTTCTGCTCTGGACATATGAGACCCAAAGTCCTCCGTTTTTGCCGTCTTCAGTAAAACTAAAACTCCATCCGGAGTTTCGAAATGAAAAACGGGGTCGGCAGAATTTCCAAAGTTCTCCGTTTTAGGTCTTTTGTTTTCGGAGCAAACGTAGAAAAAGGTCTCCGCTTTAAAAGCAAAACGCAGCAGTGTGAATGTCTTTGACAGTCACCTAGAGAGGCTGTGATCTGATGATGATACCATGTTACAAAATGCTTCCACTAATGCAAACACAATAAAACACATGATAAAAGTAAGAAATTAAAATACATTTAAAAGATAAAAAAGAAAATACATCAGGAAAGGCTTTCTAAAAGGAACTTTGAAACCTCCTAATTATCCACAGCAGCAGCAGCAGTTTGTGTGTTTAGAGGTTCCTGAATGGCTTTTTAATGATTCTTGTGATAAGAATAAAAACATCTTGTGTTTGCAGAGTTCAGTCCAGCAGACAGAGAGCAGAGTCTGCAGGATCCAGCTGTCTGTCTCTGAAGAGTTACCGGTCCCACCGTAAACCTCCAGACTTCAGTAATGAACCTGGACCCTCAGACACAAAGTAAGAGACAGTTTTTACTGTAAACTGACCTGATGGAAGATGATGCATTGAGGATGAAGACAAAATGTTCTGCTAACAGATTTATATTCCTGATGCAGAACTATTAGTGCAGATTCTGTTTCAAACTAAGACCAAAACACCTGAGAACCTCCAGTTCAGGATTTACACTTCAAGAAAATCTTCATATCTTTTCTCACATGTTAAATTTGCTATAAAGATTTAGAACAATTTTTAAAAAAGGCTTTTACTGTGAAGGAGCTGCAGGAAGTGTTGAGTTTGTATTAATACCAAACTCCAGGCAGATCACTCAGTGTTTAATAAGACGGTCAGACAGGAAAAGCTGTTAATGAATGTTTCTGAAAGCAGGAGAGTTAAAATAAAAGGAACTAAAGGAACAATAGTTTTCATCACAGACTGAAAGCTGAATTCAAACAGAAAAGTAACGACACTTTTTACTGTTCTCTGTGACCATCTGAGCTTCTACACAGTGTCGGACAAATCTGGAGATTTTTCAACTACAAGCAACAAATGATTTTAGTTCTAAAGAAATGTCTTCACAGAGAGAGGAAGAGGAGTCCTGTTTCTGTGGAGGAGCAGCCGTCCTGCTGTGTTTTGTGTCAGGACGTCCTGAAGGATCCAGTCTCTACCAGCTGTGGACACTGGTTCTGCAGACGGTGCATCACCTCATACTGGGACCAGTCTGCTTCATCGGGACACTCCTCCTGTCCCCAGTGTGGAAAAAGATCCAGAACCAGAGCTGGACTGCAGACAGCCAGTCAGAGCAGCTCTGTACAAAGTAAGACTGGACATCTGTACATCTTAAACATGGAACCTGCTACATTTCATTACATTACGTTTATTTAGAGACTTACAATAAGAACATTCAACCCAGAAATGACAAGAACCATGCAGGTACATCAGCTTCATCAAATAAGCTGAACTGCTTCAAGAGCTGCGTTTAGTTTCTAGAGTTTCTGCTGTCCTGATGTCAGTGGGGTTTTGTTAAGCGGTAGCTAGACCCCCTTCATAATGAGGGGAGCAAGCTGATTGGCAGTAGCAGAGCATATTGGGCGAGCTGGGCCATTGACAGCATGGTAGGCAAACGGCAGTGACTTGAACTAGATTGGAGCAGCCACCAGTAGCCAGTGCAGGATGTGGAGGAGCGGTGTAGTGTGGCAGAACTTGGGTTGAATCCCAGCCTCCGTGCTGCACTCTGGATGAGCTGCAGAGTTCAGATGGCAAATGCAGGCAGACCAGGAGTGAGTTGCAGTAGTCTATGCAGGAGATGACAAAGAGCCTCCTGGGTGAGGAACAGTCTGAGCTAAAAGTAGCTCATAGAAACAGTGTGTAAAAATGTCTGCAGTGATAAAGAGTGATTAACACTGATATCCTGCAACATATTATGCTAACTAACATGTGCCGCAGAGGTTTTGTGAGGCGACTGAAAACATGGATCTTGGTGTTACAGCTTCAAAAACCCTGACTGAGCTTGTAGTCATTTACAGGGGCCAACCTGAGATGGTCTCCTCCCTAAAACCAAAGCCACATCTGGAGCTACACTGATTGGAAGGAATAAAAATAAAATAAATGTTTTCTTACATAACAGTTGGGACTACAACTTTCATCTAGCTGTGTGACCCTCTGTTCATAACAAATGAACCTTGGACCTGTCAGTACGTTTGTAGCTTCTAAGTGAATCCCATCATCTCCATCATCGTCTCCAGGGATGAAGTTGCGCTTGACTCTTGTCCATTTCTGACGTTCTTGTAGTTGGGGTAGGGACTCCTTAGTCCATCTTTTCCAAAACAGATCGGACATGTACTGAACCTGCTTCCATCTCCGGCGTGCATACTGTAGATGTCCTTCCAAAACAGGTCGGGTGGTAAGCATGGTTTGGCCTTAAGAAGAAGAAGGTGGTTAGGTGTCAATGCTTCTAAGTCATTTGGATCTGTGGATTCTTTAGTGATAGGTCTACTGTTGAGAATTGATTCCACTTCACAAAGCACTGTGTGGAGTCCTTCTTCATCCAGACCTCAAAGTGGAGTTGAGGATTTTCCTGATGGAGCGAATCAACCTCTGCCATGCTCCTCCATGATGTGATCCACTTGAAGGGTTGAAGATCCACTTGATCCCGTTTTAAAGTCAGAGCATCATTGATCTTCTCAAGGTTCCATCCTTCAATGGCTCTTCTCGGCTCACGCTCTGCTCCGACAAAGTTGGTGCCGTTGTCTGAGCGTAACTCTTGAACCTGTCCTCGTCTCGCTATGAAACATCTCAAGGCGTAATGAAAGAGTCTGTGTCCAATGATGAAGCCACTTCAATGTGTACTGCTCTTATTGCCAAACATGTGAAAATGACTCTGGATCTCTTCACAAGGATTCTCCCACACTTGACTTCAAATGGACCAAAATAGTCCACTCCAGCATGACCAACCTCTTGACGAATGTGTCGCAGAATGAGGTCAGTAATATGAAGATCTTTAGTTAGCATGGCAGGACGCTTGTCTGTTCTTGTTTGGACCTCTAGACATCAGTTTTATTTGTCTTTACTGTTACTTAATTAAATTGCTGCTGATGTAAACTCAACATTTCATGGTGCTTTCCGCCAGCAGAAGCCTTTTATTGTGAAGCAGCTATAGGAAATGGTGAGTTTGTCACAGAGATTTGCAGCACTTTGTTAATGTGGCTATTCAATGAAAACAAGACATGAACATGTTCTGCCTTATTTGATCGGTGGATCAGTTTTAAAATTCACAGGGAGGAAGGAACAGCCACAGTGAGCTGTTCAGATGAAGAGCTGCAGACGAGCTGTTGAGGCTCAGCCTGTCGCCTCTGCTGTCAATCAAACACATACACTTATACACAGTCAGAGAGAAGAATCAGCATTTCTGATTTATAACCTTTACGTCTCTAGTTCTTCTTATATTGATCGTCGATTGTCAAAGTTTCTTTGTTTTGTCTCAACTTTCTTCTCTTCTTTAGTGAGAGGTGGTCTGCAGGAGGTTTTAGATGAACATAAGATCAGTCTGAGGAGGAGATGTGAACGTGTGACTGAAGGAAGTGATGAAACAGGAAGTGGAACCCTCCTCAACAGGATCTACACTGAGCTCTACATCACAGAGGGACAGAGTGAAGAGGTTAATACCCAGCATGAGGTGAGGCAGCTTGAGACAGCTTCCAAGAAGGAGACCCTCCATGACACTCCAATCAGGTGCCAGGACATCTTTAAAGCCTTACCTGGCCAACAGAGAGCCATCAGAGTGGTTCTGACCAACGGCGTCGCTGGCGTTGGAAAAACCTTCTCGGTGCAGAAGTTCACTCTGGACTGGGCAGAGGGCTCGGAAAACCAAGATGTCGGTCTGCTGGTTCTGCTCTCGTTCAGGGAGCTGAACTTGATCAAAGATGAGCGGCACAGTCTCCTCACGCTGCTCCATGTTTTCCATCCAACATTACAGAAGGTCCCAGCACAGAAGCTCGCCGTCTGGAAACTGTTGTTCATCTTTGACGGCCTGGATGAAAGCAGACTTTCATTGGATTTCCACAACAGTGAGGTTGTGTCTGATGTCACACAGAAGTCATCAGTCAACCTGCTGCTGACAAACCTCATCGAGGGGAATCTGCTTCCCTCGGCTCTCGTCTGGATAACTTCCCGACCTGCGGCGGCCAATCAGATCCCTCCTTCGTGTGTCGGCAGGGTAACGGAAGTACGAGGCTTCACTGACGCCCAGAAGGAGGAGTACTTCAGGAGGAGAGTCAGTGATGAAGAGCTGTCCAGCAGAATCATCTCACACATCAAGACCTCCAGGAGCCTCCACATCATGTGTCAGATCCCAGTCTTCTGCTGGATCACTGCTACAGTTCTGGAGCACATGTTGACTACAGAGCAGAGAGGAGAGCTGCCCAAGACCCTGACTGACCTGTACTCACACTTCCTGCTGGTTCAGATAAAGAGGAAGAAGCAGAAGTACGATGAGGGACATGAGACGAGTCCACAGGAGCTGACGGAGGCTGACGGAAGGTTCTTCTGAAGCTGGGGAGGCTGGCGTTTGAACAGCTGGAGAAAGGAAACATCATGTTCTACCAAGAAGACCTGGAGCAGTGTGGTCTTGATGTCACAGAGGCCTCGGTGTACTCAGGAGTTTGTACAGAGATCTTCAAAAGAGAGAGTGTGATCTTCCAGAAAACCGTCTACTGCTTTGTTCATCTGAGCGTTCAGGAGTTTCTGGCTGCAGTCTACATGTTCCACTGTTACACCAGCAGGAAGACAACAGTAGTGGAGACTTTCCTGCGAAAGACATCCCTGGAGATCTTCCTGAAGAAAGCCCTAGAGAAATCTCTCAAGAGTAAAAATGGCCACCTGGACCTGTTTGTTCGCTTCCTTCATGGCCTCTCTCTGGAGTCCAACCAGAGACTCTTAGGAGGCCTGCTGGGTCGGACAGACAACAGTCCAGAAATCATCCAGAGAGCCATCAAGAACCTGAAGAAGATGAACAGTGGTGAGATCTCTCCTGACAGAAGCATCAACATCTTCCACTGTCTGACGGAGATGAACGACCACTCAGTACATCAGGAGATCCAAGAGTTCCTGAAGTCAGAGAACAGATCAGAGAAGGAACTCTCTGAGATCCACTGCTCAGCTCTGGCCTTCATGCTGCAGATGTCAGAGGAGGTTCTGGATGAGTTGGACCTGAAGAAGTACAACACATCAGAGGAGGGACGACTGAGACTGATTCCAGCTGTGAGGAACTGCAGAAAGGCTCAGTAAGTCCAGATGTGATTATCAGCAATGTAAAGACGAAGCATCAGTATTACAGTAAGCAAGCTAGCGTATTGAAATAATTCTACATGTGTTACACTACAAATGTCTACAGAATGTTTTGGGTTCATAGCTGTCAAGTCAAAGAAGCATCTACTATCATTAATCATTAGGGGTTATTATGAACTTTTGTAAACATCAAAATTAGTTTACAATTTTTAAACAAACTTTCAAATTACACATTAAATAAATTATATAAAATGGAAAAATAATTAGAAAAATAATACTGCTGCAAACTATGACCAAGTTCTCTACTCAGATTTATTAATGCTTTTATTCACAAACAATATGTTGAACATATAAAGCAGAGAAGCATGCAATACCAGGGGAGCATAGGGCTGACCGAAATACACACAAACACAAAAAATAAAAATATTTTTTGTAATGATAATAAAATAAAGGGGATCACAAATCAGCACTGAAAGATGTTAAACAGAGTAAATAGATGCAAGGTCTTGATAGCTTTCCTGTTTTTAGACTATAGGATTGTCTTGACGTACTGTCTGACTTCGTTTTCAAAAATGGCAAAGGGAGTTTTGTGGTTGGAGAACCTAGATTTGTGAATCTGTGATTTTGCCAGCAATAATATCAAGTTGATGATTAAGAAGTAATTTGCCTTTATAGAAGGGTATGTTAAAAAAAACCAATACATTGTCATAGGAAAGTAAGAATTCAGAGTCAATATATTGGGAGATAAATGTACAAATGTCTTGCCAAAAGGTGCAGGAGTGAGGACAAGACCAAAATAAATGATGCAAGTCTTCTTCAGCCATTTGACAAAATGAGCAGTCCACATCAATGTCCTTTTTATATCGTCGTAGAAATACCTTGCAGGGATAAAAGCGATGCAGCATTATAAAAGATACTTCCTTAACCTTATTTAAAATTAGATATTTGGAAGGCAGGCACCAAATTCTTTCCCAGTCCAGATTTGGAGTGAGGTTATTCCAATAAGGAACAACATTTGGAACAGAGACTATTTCTTTTTGAAACAGAGAACGTATAGATCGGTTAATGTTTCTCAAATTAGAGGAGAAGCAGATCTGGCCATCAGTCGACATATAAGGATCCAGTGGCAAAAAAGTTGGTATGGATACTATATTTTTTAAGAAGCATTAGAGCACCACAAGGGATTGCATCAAAAACTAAGACGTATTCCTTTGGCGGTATAGGAATACCAGACTTGTCTAGAAGTTCGGAGTATGACAATAATTCACCACTAGAACTGAGGAGCTGTATTACCAGATAAATTCCATGGATAAACCAGTTTTCCAAGAACAATGATTTGTGTTTAGACAGAATGTCTCTGTTGTTCCAGATGTAGTATTTGTGCAGGGAAAAGTTGTATTTATAAACTAAGGACCAGGAAAGGAGCAATTGTTTGTGAAAATTTGATAACTTTAAGGGGATTTTTTCAACATTGTAGCTGCAAAGTAGGAGGAACTGAAGACCTCCAAGCTTTGAAAACAGGTAGTTCGGAATAAAATTCCAGATTGAGTTAGGATTTTTTAAAAACTGTTTTATCCAATTTATCTTAAAGGTGTTGTTGAGGGTGGAGAAATCAAGAAAGTTTAGACCATTTACATAAGAGTTCATTAATACTGATTTTCTAACATAGTGGGTTCTATTTGTCCATACAAAGTTGTATAGCAGGTTATCGATGACCGTAGAGGTCCGTTTGTTGACATCTAGAGATAAGGCTGCATAAGTAAGATGAGATATGCCCTCAGCTTTGGTAAGCTAAATTCTTCCTTCAAGAGATAAGTCTCTTTGAACCCAATTTTTTTTTTTTTGTACCTTTCCCACCACTGGGTTGAAATTCAAAGAGCATCTGGTGTTGTTGTTTTTGTTGATTAAAAAATTCCAAGGTAGGTGACGGACTCTTTCACTGGAATGGTAGAGATAGACGTAACGTTGCAACTTTTGAGGGCGAGCAGCTCACACTTACTGATGTTTAAAAAATGTAAATGCTCTGTATTGCGACCACTCAAAGCGCTTTTACACTACATCTGCATTCACCAGTCAAACACATTCATAAACTGAGCCTAAGTGCTCAAACAGAAACTAACATTCACACACATTCATACACTGGAACAGCCACCAGGGGCAATTCGGGGTTCAGTATCTTGCCCAAGGACACTTCGACATGCAACCAGGGGGAGCCAGACCGCCGACCTTTCGATTAACAGCCAACCCGCTCTACCTCCTGAGCCACGGCCGCCCCAGAGGCCCAGAGAAGACCAGAGGCTTTAGTGAATGTCTTAATTGTATCGATAGCAACTGAAAACTGTGAGGCATCCTTTAAAAAATAAAGTGGTATCATCAGCTAGTTGACTAAGTATTATTTCTTTTCCAACTATTGTGAGCAATTTGCATTCTTATACATGGTTTTAATGGCTGCACAAAAGTAAGTGCCAAAGCAAAATTTATCTAAGGCCTGTAAGAGAAAGATAGATGTTCGACTGTGTCAAAAGCCTTGCAGAAATCTAAAAACCATATATAGCCATCATCATCATCACTAAGATCAGCGTAATCAATGAGGTCCAACACAAGTCTGATGTTATTAGATATATGTCTATGCCTCATAAACCCGGTTTGGTTTTCATCAATTGGTCCAAAACAGCTTTTAATCTTTTGGCAAAAACTAGAGCTAGGATTTTGTAATCATTATTAAGAAGGCAGATTGGTCGCCAGTTGTCAATGCACAGTGGGTCTTTCCTATGCTTTGAAGTCCTTGAGATAGAGTGAGGGGGAGCGTTTGGTTTTCAATGCTTTCTGTGTATACACGGTGAAGGAAGGGAGCAAGATTTTGTCTGCAAAAGCAATATAAAATTCAGCGGTAAAGCCATCAACACCTGGAGATTTGTTAACTTTTAGACGGTGAATGGCATACAGAACTTCATCTGCAGTTATTGGGTTATCACAAAAATCTTTTTGGTCATTCAATATTGATTTTGTTTTAGTGAGGTATCCTAAAAAGGTGTTAGCTATCTTTTGGGGATCATCATCTCCATCATCGTCTCCAGGGATGAAGTTGCGCTTGACTCTTGTCCATTTCTGACGTTCTTGTAGTTGGGGTAGGGACTCCTTAGTCCATCTTTTCCAAAACAGATCGGACATGTACTGAACCAGCTTCCATCTCCGGCGTGCATACTGTAGATGTCCTTCTGAAACAGGCCGGGTGGTAAGCATGGTTTGGCCTTAAGAAGAAGATGGTTAGGTGTCAATGCTTCTAAGTCATTTGGATCTGTGGATTCTTTAGTGATAGGTCTACTGTTGAGAATTGATTCCACTTCACAAAGCACTGTGTGGAGTCCTTCTTCATCCAGACTTTGTGTCCTCAAAGTGGAGTTGAGGATTTTCCTGATGGAGCGAATCAACCTCTGCCATGCTCCTCCATGATGTGATCTACTTGATCCCGTTTAAAGTCAGAGCATCATTGATCTTCTCAAGGTTCCATCCTTCAATGGCTCTTCTCGGCTCACGCTCTGCTCCGACAAAGTTGGTGCCGTTGTCTGAGCGTAACTCTTGAACCTGTCCTCGTCTCGCTATGAAACATCTGAAGGCGTTAATGAAAGAGTCTGTGCCCAATGATGAAGCCACTTCAATGTGTACTGCTCTTATTGCCAAACATGTGTAAATGACTCTGTATGTCTTCACAAGGATTCTCCCACGATTGACTTCAAATGGACCAAAATAGTCCACTCCAACAAAACTGAATGGAGGTACCTCTGAAGAAACTGTCTTCAGGCAAGTCTGCCATTTATTGTTGGCCTGCAGCTCCGTATAGCCGACGACAGACCACACATCGACAAGATCTTCCTTATGGAAACACTAGCACCAGGGATCCAGTATCTCTGATGTAATTTGGACAACATGTGATTCTTGCCTCCATGACCAACCTCTTGATGAATGTTTCGCAGAATGAGGTCAGTAATATGAAGATCTTTAGTTAGCATGGCAGGATGCTTGGACTCTTCGGACATGACAGCCTTACTAAGTCGTCCTCCAACTCTCAATACACCATCATCCAGTACAGGATTCAGCTTGTATATGTGACTGTCTCTTTTCACACACTCTCCCCTTTGGAGGCTTGAGAACTCTTCTGAGAATCTTCTTCTGACAGAATTTTATTACCTGCATCTCGGCTTCCTTGATCTCTCCCACTGAGAGATAATCACGACAGAGCTTGTTTTTGAAGTTGTGCGGCTCACTGTGGACCGCACCTTCCTTCTGAATTGTATCTGACGCAGACTGAGCAGGACATGCAGTATCTTCTTTCCTTTTCCTGAGACTCATGAGCAAACCCTTGAGCCTTAGGATCCAGCCAATCACTCTTGTGAGACGTGTCCAAGATGAGGTGCGATTGATCAACATGTCACGGGTCGTCTTCACCTTGGGCTGCACACACTTCAATAGCAGCTGATACCTTAACCTCAGGGTCTCCATCCGGCAGTTCTTGCAAGTTGTCTGGGTTGACGGGCCAATCCTCTTCTGGCTGCATAAGAATGAGGACCAGATGTCCACACTTCATTCCTCAGAAATGGCTCGGGCCCTGATCCCTGAGGAGGCCACGTCCGCTGGATTTATCCTGCAGGAAAACTTGACAACAAATATGACAACAAAAAACTTGACAACAAAAACAATTGACAACAAATATGTGCAAAATTACAGGTTTGTGCATGATACGAAATGAAGTAATATTTGTGTCAGTGGGGGAACCCGGGCCTTGTTGATGAGGCTGCAGATAGGAAGAAGCTGTTTGTGGCGAGAGGTTTTGATCCTGATGAACCGCAGCCTCCTGCCAGAGGGGAGAGTCTGAAACAGTTTGTGTCCGGGGTGGGAGGATCAGCTGCAATCTTTCCTGCTCGCCTCAGAGTCCTGGAGGAGTACAGGTCCAGAAGAGATGGAAGATTGCAGCCAATCACCTTCTCTGCAGAGTGAATGATGTGCTGCAGCCTGCCCTTGTCCCTGGCAGTGGCAGCAGCGTACCAGATGGTGATGGAGGAGGTGAGGATGGACTCAATGATGGCGGTGTAGAAGTGCACCATCATTGTCTTTGGCAGCTGAACTTCACTTAGTAACCGCTCCTATATGAGCCAGTTCCGAAATCGCCTGAGCCGGAAGCAATGCGAAATAAAACTTTGCATTAGGAAAGAAGGGGGGACAAAACATAGATTTGAAATGAAACATGTATAATGCCTCCTCTGCCTATCAGGTGATTAACCTCGCCACAAATCCACACAAGTTAACAGCTGGATCATCTTATTCTCTGGCTAATTTGCAGGAGAATAAATATAACAATAATCTCACTCTCGCCTGCGCCCCTTAACGTTAGTTAGCGAGTATGCCCAGGGCTAACGACGCCGCTGGTGATGGAGGTGATGTTCAGCTCCTACTTGAGCTTCCAGTGATCCAGTGTCTGCACTCTTGTTTCTATACTGAGTCTGTTTTAGTTTTCTTATATACAGACATACATACATGTCGTATCTGATCTGCTGAACTAACATCACTTGAAGGTTGTGAATTATAGCTTCATTTAACTTTGCTATTCTAGTCCCAGTTTCTGAGCTTTTCATATGAAGGACTGTTCTGTCCATTTTCACATACAATATCTCTAATTATTGTTGATTTGAAGGATGTGAAGGGAGGCCATTCCCTCTTAAAGACCAAACGAACACCCCCCTCTCCATCGTCATTAAAAGGTGACTTTACATTGTTTAGTTCCATCAATGAATGTCTCTTCGTGTGTTTAGCTACATTAGAACTGAGTTTGATTTAGAAACGGTAAGGAAGCTCTGTCTCTCTGGTAGGATTTAATGGACTGGTCTATAAACTGGAACACTACTTTAGTGATGTTCACTGTTAGAGAGCGTTCTAAAGCTTTTTCCCATTGTTCTCCTTTTCCATCTGGTCACCTTAAGATGTCAGACAGTGTGTTTCCTTTCTGCAACATTTCACATCCGTCACATTAAAGTCAGACACGCAGAGGAAACACAGCACCATTTAAACTGTGGTTCTTAAAACTGCAACCACAGTCTTTGGTATTTATCAGCTGGTTTCCTCAGACAGCACTCATTACACAGTCAGCTGCTGGGACGCCTCCAGGTTCATTCTGCCAGAATTAGAGCTCAAAACTATTAGCTAAACTATTATGAAATTAAATTATACTACCTTTATACTAATTATAATATGAATGCACCAGGAGCCATTAAATTAATTCAATGAGAGATGAAAAGCAGATGGAGTGCATAAGATAACAAAAATACACCGACAAGCGCCAGACTGAGGGAAATACAGTGGAGAACAGTTACAACAGGGATTTTACAGGTAATTGAACTTATGTTAAATAAGTTTAACTAATACAAATCACAGCCCCCTGCTCAATATGCTGTCATATATATTGTTACGTAACAGTCATGATTTGGCAACACTTTTGTTTGAAACTGCAGTTTGCAGTTCATTATGTTGCCAGGACTCGTCAACATGTGGACAGGAGGAGCTCAATATCAAACCTTGTGATCAGTGGCTGACCAGCTGAGCCGCAGCCGCTCATGTTAATGTGCTTTGTGATTAAAAAGAAATGTTTAAGTGTCAGATGTTATTATACTTTAAGTTTTATATTCTGTCCACAGACTTTCTGGCTGTGGACTCTCAGAGACTCACTGTGAAGTTGTGGCCCTCAGCTTGAAGTCCAACCCCTCCCATCTGAGAGAGCTCTACCTGAGTACAACAAGCTGCAGGATTCGGGAGTGAAGCTGTTGTCTGCTGGACTGGAGAGTCCACACTGTAGACTGGAGACTCTGAGGTCAGGTTTTTTATTCTTTTTTTTTCCTTTAGTGGTTAGTCCTTGACTGTGGCAGCATGTTGAGCTCCACATTTAAAATCTTATTACAACAAAGAACACTCGGTAGTTCACTTTGAACCTCTTAAAGTATTGGTTATTGTTAGGTTTAGTGGAAGATTATTGCTGGGTTTAAAATAAGTATGTTAGGTAGTCACATGACTTAAGTTGTGTAATTACAGAAAATACACTTTTTTTGCTGGCGGCCTTTTGCCTGTAAACAAGAGATCATTTCATCC